CTGAGTTTAATAATTATGGTGGATCTATGTTATTAATCTTAGGGAGAACATTCAATCAAATCAAACATAGACTGTGGACAGTTATGTTTTCTTGATTAATCAACTTATCTAGTTCTTAAGGCTGTCATTGAATTAAATTATAAATGCAGACATTGTGGTTCTTTGATAGTTATAGTTAATTATATGGTGAATCCGTTAACTAACCAATATTAAGAAAAAATAAATATTTAGAATATAAATTGATGTTTCGTTTCCATGATCAGTTCTGATTTTTGTAGGTAGGTGTGTGCTTACAACCAAGGTTTGTTCTCTTAGTAATTTTCTGATTTTATTTAGTTTCGCTTGATAGTTTTCTAATTTATTTTGCTTTAGCCTAGATAACTTTCAAAACCCCCCCAAGTTTCATATCATCTGACATAAAAATTTGACCTGAACCTTTATTATGGGATCGACCTCTTGATTGCTCTATATTATCTTGGTGTGTTGTGTTTAAAGTTAGGGTAATTGATTTGTGTGACCGCGACATCGCAACAGATAAGCTTGCATTTAAAGTGAATATTTACCATAAATTAAAGATATCTTATAGTATTAGACATAATATTATAAAATATGCTCTAGTTAAATGGGTTATTGATACTTTAAGTGCAAAATAATAATATAAAATCTTGATAAAAATATATTTTTAAGTATTAGACACTCGATTTAAAAAAATCTTAAGTAAACTAAAATAAACCAGTCAAACTCGTGACTTAGATTATGCACATCACTAGATTCAATTTTTTTTTTTATCCCGAAGCATTTCTATCACTTAATTATACAATAACAAAGCGCACAAGAATATTTATATGTGAAATAAATTTTTTAAAGCAAAAAATAACCAAGACATGTGAGTGGGATCAAGATAGCAAAGACAAGCCTACTTATTTTAAGCTAAATGACAAAAAAGAGGTTTTTTTTTATTTTAAGCTAAAAAAATATATCATTGACAATAAAGGATGAAATTGTTTTTTTTTTTAATTGAGAAACCAAAAATGATTTTAAAAAAATAATAAATTAAAAGTTTTGACTTAACTCGTTAAATTTATGATTTTAATAATAAATTCAATTAAGTTTAATAAATTTATCTTTACCTAAATATAAAATAAAATTCTTCCATAAAAAGCCAAAAAGAACCCAAGCATTTGTGCTCTAGCATACTTGGGCATTTAAAAAAAGAGTCCAAGCATATAAACATTTAAGCTAGGTATGTGTGCTTCAATATTTATTTTTTAAATTTTTTTTAAAAAGCTAATGACTTCTTGTTTATCTTTATTTCTTTATTTTCTTTAAAAAAAAATTAATAAATAACATATTGTCTGGATACCTAAATTATAGTCATCATTATGGTGATTGAAAAATAAAAATAAAATATTTTTTATCTTAAGAATTTATTTAATCCCAAAAAAAACCCTTAAAAATACTATTAAAAATTCTAGAAATTGATTTACCAACGTAATAGATCTAAAAACTAGTCTAAATTACAAAATCAAATTAAGTAAAATAAAGATTCTAAACAATTATTATAAAACTTTTTTCATTGAATTAACTCATTGTCATATATTTTAATCATTTTAATAGTTGAAACTGATGTAAATAACGACTCTCTTTCTCTTCACGTCAGAATGACAACTATCTTTCATCTCTTACAATCAAGGAATGAAAATTAAAAATAATAAAGTTTACGAATATTTGAAAACTAAAAGTACCAATTACCTATTAACTAAAGAGAAGAGAAACCATTTATTTTCTTTATCTTTTTCATTTTGATTTTTATTTGAAAAAGAACCAACTGAGTATTAATTTGGAATGAAAAAGTACAGTTGATTAACACATTAAAATTATCTCATGGCTTAGTTTTCTTTCTTTATAATATAATTGTTTAATCAACCTCCGAGTCGGAGAAAATTGGAAGGTAGCAACCCACGATATTCTGAAATATTTTCCTCCATATTTCCTGCAAAAACTTGAACCAGCAACAGCAGACGTGACAAGCAAAGTTACAGTAATAAAACTCATCTTGTAAGATAATTAACTTAGGAACATTAAAGGAATCGAAGCAAATGGGTTAAGGAATTGGGATTAAGAAACTTCTGCCATCAATTTCCTTAGTTTTCAACTAATTAAGTAAATCAAGCTGATTAGCTGGCTATGTATGTGATTAATTGGTCTGATTTTCTGCTAATTTGTATCAGGATTTTATGTTCGTTTCTCAACTGTAGTTAGAGTGTTTGACAGTGTAGCAACGGTTGCTTTTCAAATAATTTTTTGTGCCAAAATGTATGTTAATAATATTTTTTTTATTTTTTAAAAATTATTTTTAACATCAGCACATCAAAACAATCTAAAACATACAAATCATATTAAATTTTAATAAAAATAAAAAATAAAAAAAATTTAAATTTTTTGAAAACGCAGGTTCAACCGCGTTTCCAAACACTCTCTTAAGAGCCTTCGGCATTTTTATTTGTAAAGGGATGGTTTGCTGATAGTTATTTTTTAAAATAATTTTTTTAAATATAGTAAAAAATTTTAATATTATTATATTAAAAAACAAAAAATTTAATTTTATATAAAAAAAATTTTAATTTTTAAATAACACGGTTACACAGCAGTACAATTTGATTGGACTTGGCTGTACATTAAAGAGCATGCTTAAGTATAATCTATAATTTAACATTTGACAAACTATTTTATTTATTCTATTTTCGAAGTAAATATTTTTTATTTAATTTTTTTGTAAATAAAATATGTGGAAAAAAATCCTAAAATTCAAAAGAGTGAAAGGTATTTTTGGATTTAAGGGAGAGGGTGTCCATTAGCCAGTCGTTTTGACTCAACCAGGATTCGAGTTCGAATTAACCCGACCCGAACCATTATCCATTAGTTTCCTCTGGTCACAATTCCTGAAACAGAGAAACAGGCGAAGATACTTCTTCAAAGAGGCTTCTTGGTTCACAGAATCTCTCTCTTGTCTCAAAGAACACAAGAACAGGTAGAAAGATGTTGGCATCCATGGCCACACAACCCAAAATCCAAACCCACTCACAACCCTCTACATTTCCTTCACAGAGCCTCCTGCGTAAACCCCTTAAAACCCCTATATTCTCTATCAAACCAAAACCTTCTTGTTTTCACTTAGAATCCCTTTCTACTCTCAAAACCCCAGCAAGACTCAAACTTTCTGCTCCAAAAGCTCAACAAACACTCCCTGAAGAAGAAAAAGAAAACGAAACATCCACTGAGAAAGAGGTTATTTTGCACACACATAAGTTACCTTTGAATGCCCTCTTCTTTAATTTCTTTTCTTTATGTATGATTTAGCAACAAGGAACTTGTTTTATCTTAATTGTTTAAGCCATTGTTTTCTTGTTTTCTTGTTTTCTTGTTCTTGATTGAATAGTGAACTCAATTGGGTTTCATGGAATTGATTTGATGCAATGTGTTAAAAGGGTTTTTGTATATTTTCCCTTTAATCTTTTTTGATAATGAGAAGATAGGGCAAAACATTAGTGAAAGAATTGATTTGTAATAGGAAATTTTTCTTTTTTCTTTTTAATATTGTAGAAGCTTGGAGTGGTGGTGAAGCCAATAGAGAAACCAAGAGTAGTATTGAAGTTCATTTGGATGCAGAAGGTAATTGGAATTGCACTAAACCAAGTGATACCAGGCCGTGGCACAATCCCTTTGAGTCCCTACTACTTTTGGCCCAAGGAAGATGCTTGGGAGCAGCTTAGACTATTGTTAGTAGGCAAGCCATGGATATCGGGGAAGCAATTGCATGCTCTTCTCAATCAGGCTACTGATATCATTGAATTGTGGCAGGATACAGGTTCCAATCAATAGTAATTTGCTTACAAATACAGAGAAGTTTTAAAATATAGGCTTAATGTAGTATAGTTTGGTTCACAGTAAAATATTACATTAGATTTATTTGGATTGTTTGGACTGTCTTTGTTAAAATTAATGAAACACGGGGTTGCTTAATCTTTCTGTAATTTGTATATCGTATCCTAGAAGACAATTTACTGGAGTGTGATGTGATATGATTTCTTTGTTTGCCATTCTTAATCAACAAGTTCAAGTTGCATATTGCTGGGGTTTTTTTCATTAACTTTGTTTCTGTAATTTTAATCATATTCGGGAAATCGTATCTTGAAGACCGAAAGCAGATTAATTGGGAATGTCAATGACTGGAATCCTCTCGATGCTGATTAAATCACTGTTCAATACAGTAAAAAGCATGGATTCGAAAACCTGAAAACTTGTTAATTGTTAGATGGTACAGGTGCCTGATGCAGCATCCAAAATGTTAATAATGCTGGAACACTGGTGTCTATCGTGGCCAATTGACTGCATCCTGTTAGTCACAATGTTAGGAAGTTAACACGCATATTGCCTGAATTTCAGTTACAGGCAACAAAAATCCTTTGAATCTGAACTTAGAATATGTTATGAACTTCCAGTTAAGCCTGCATTTTCCTGGTCTTCTGCATCTGATAGATAGTTGATGAGTTATGTCTGTCTTTTAGATTATGCAAACACCCACAATAAAGTCGTCCGTTCAGAGACGATGCCCATAATTAGAATGGCGTGATTTAAACCGAGTTTGAAAATCAAGGCCCACCAATTGAGTTTGGCACGATGTGCTTGCATTCTATTCACAAACTACTAAATCCCACCTGCCCTCTGATTTGAATATATGCCTGAAGCGTTTCTACTAAAATATGCCTTGAGAAAATCTTTGTTTAGTGAAAAATATAACTAGCTTTTGTCCATCTATTTATTGCAGTACAAAATTCTGAAATTCTGCCATGAAAGGCTTGAGAAGTTTAAAGTTCATTTGAGAGCCTGAATCTCTGAATATTAAACCTTCACTTAACAGAAAGGCCATTTTGACTTACCATGTTCTCATCTTCAATATTGGGAGTTAGAGAGACCAGTGCATGGACATAAAGGTCCTGTGAAGCAGAGGAAACAATATTTTTCTTATCTATTATTTCATATTGAATGTGCAAACCGCCAATTATTTATGAAACAAAATATGAAGAAATAAAATTATGAAATCCTATACATATGGCTTAGCAAAAAACTGAATGGAACCAAGGAAACAAAATTTTGGTCCCTTTCACTTATTCTTTTCAGGCCCCCCTTGCTCTTCTGGTCCTCACTGATAAACGCTTCCTGTCTATGTCTGAACTTGTACTTAAATTCTCAGCAGAAGTTGTGGAGTTTGCGGTTTTGTACTCATAGTTTCCTTTTTTGGGATTTATCATGGCATCGGCATGAGATTTGAGTGGAATCCACTTTGGAGATTGGTATGGAAGCTTATTTTCATCCTCATAAGAGACATCTTCGTCATGAACTGCATTATACTCTCTGATGTATTGGTTTTCATCTGCAAGTAAATTAGTATTTCTGTACAAGTCCAAGTCATGGTGCTTTGGTGATGGAATGCTCACTTGTTCCCTCTCAGCCTTCTTGTCAACCAAATATGAAACCATCCCGTTACCTTCTGGCTTATTGTGGGAGAGTGAATCTGGAAGTTGATATCTCTCATTCCACATGTTCCCGTCGGAATCTGAACTTGAATTAGATGGTGTCCTATCAAATCCAGGTTTTGTTTTGCTCTCTTCAAACTCAAGATGCACTCTTCCGTTTCCTTTCATGTTTTCGTCTTCTGATTCAGAACTATTACTGTCAATCGTGTATATTTCGTTAAATACCAAACTATCATTTGATAGCTTGTTCTCCTCTGCTTCATATCTGCCTTGAAGTTCAGGTGTCAATGACCCATCAGAATCATACGGAGTCCCTTGTCTATGACTAGAATCACCATGATTATCCCATTCCATGTCCTGAGAATAATATCTTGAGAGTTCAACAGCAGCTCTTGCAGCTTGCTTGTTCTCCTCTGAAGCTTCATATCTGCCTTGAAGTACAGGTGTCAATGACCCATCAGAATCATACAGAGTCCCTTTTCCATGACTAGAATCACCATGATCATCCCGTTCAATGTCCCGAGAATCATATCTTGAGAGTTCAACAGCAGCTCTTGCAGCTTGTGCTGCATAAGCTGCTGATTCAAAAGCCTCTAGAGCTGCAGCAGCTACATCTTTGTACTTCTTCCTTCCTTTCAGTGATTCAGACAGCTCCTCCTCAGGCAAAACGTGTGTTCTGGCTTGGGAGTCAGTAACATCTAACTTGGTTGATTTAAAATCTTCTACATGCTGCTCCTGCTGCTTCGGCTGGCTGACATCCATTTTTTCCTGAAACCATAAGTGATTTTTAAGCCTCAAACTCTGCATTGCATACGGAATTGTTCTCATTTCGTAATGTACAAGTTTCGTACCTGTGCAACCACTGGAGCATCTTCCTCCAAATGCAGAACGATACCATTATCATATGCGATGTCCTTTAGCAGTTTCTTTCTGCTTTCCAAGCTTGCTTGTCTTGCAGAAAACTTTTGTATAATCTAAAAAAAAAAAAAAGAAATAAGAAAAAAAGTGAGAAGAAATTTGCAACAATTTAATCTACAAATATTCAGCTCTTTACCTTGGGATTCACTCCACAGTTGCTGCGCAATTCGACAGCACGAGCAGCCATTTCTTTTCCAAATCTTGATACGAAAACCCCACGAATCTCTTGCAACTCTGGAAATTCACCACATCTTGAAGATGCAAAGATCAAGCTCGATACTGCCTCCTTGAGCTCATCAGGACACTCTCTGTGTAAACAAAAGCAAATATGATTTAATAACAGAACAAAGGAAACAACTTTTGCAAACACGATATCACCACCACAGACACTATTGAAAGTAAATGATCAACTTAATTAATCAAAATTCAAGAAACTAACCTGTTTGTTTCAAGTAGAACAACTCTATCATTCAGGAAATGTAAGTAATCCTCCATCATAACAAAAGCATCCACCATATTCTGATCCTTGATGACATGTTCAACCTGTCGAGCAAACCCCATCATGCATCAAAAATAGAAAGACGGAAATATCAAAGAAGCAAAAAGGAAAAGGGAATGTCATGAATTACTCTGAGGAGAGCTCGTTCTTGCTGTCCAAGGTTAAGAAGCTGAATTACATCAGACCTTGCATGTGAAAACCTGACCTGTGCCTTGTTCTTGAGGATAGCAATCCTAGAAACTGCTAGTTTAGCTAGAGAACTGAATTTAGAGGTCCTTAATTTCCTTCCAAAAAGAGCATCCAGTTTCTTCCCCATGTTTTGCAGTCTATAATATTTATTTGCTGCTGGTCTCAAACACCACAAAAGGCCTGAAGAAGCAAAACCCTAGCTATTCAGGGAAGTTCAAGTGCCTCACGCAAACCACTATAACCATGAAGGCTACTTAATATAGATTGTGAGTAGTTCGACCTTCGTTCTGTCTGTCTGTGATGATTCTTTTATCACTATCAACTTCTAAGTTTACCATGTATCCTCTAATAATATACTACGTGTCTCCTTTATGATTGGAAGTAATTACTTAGACCAATAACTATAAGGTGATTGTAGCTTTTCTCTAATCAGCGTTCGGTGCAGCAGCTTTGAACTGGACAAACATTTTTTATCTTGGTGGCTGCGGCTTCTTTTTGTCTAGAAGAAGAAGAAATAAACCACAAGTCTTGACGCAATAATTTAAACAAAGACATTTTATTTTATTATTTTTTTATTTTCAAGAGGTAACCTATTTCTTCTTCTTTGGCCATGCATGACCTATGAGAGTGTAAAGGTGAAAAAAGGGCAAAGAAAAGTACAAATACGAAACTCCCATTGGATATACTTTTGGATTCTTGTTGAATTTTAGGTCTTCAAAGATATTGGCACACTTCAAGCTATAGTATTTTAAATAAATTGATTGTGATGGTGCGCTGTGGAATGTTCATAATAAAGTTTCAGTGAAGTATGGGTGCATGCTTGTTAATTATATATTTTATTAAAAAATAAAATAAAATAAACTGCCGTTGAATAAATACTAAAGACTTGTGCTAGAATCTTCCTAGGGTTTTTAGCATAAATAAATAATAGTAAATAAACTCTTGCCCAGACCTTTTCCATTGTCATGCAAAGCGAGCGTGAACCAGAACCATATGGTGTAAACAAGCGTTTAGGGTGTTGAATTTTGGACGCAGTCATAAGATTCTGCGCGTAGTTTATATAGGTAAAATTACTTTTTTGCCTCTTATGTTTGTGTTAATTTGTCATCTTACACTCAATGTTTTAATTTTTGTTGACTGACATCGGTATTGTCAAAATATTGGTCGATTTGCATCGATTAATTGTCATAAAGGGACTAAACGTAAAGATTGATTTTTTTTTTTGACAATTTCCACCTTCATGCTTGTACCATTCACTGGTGACTCTGTTGAATGTTTTCGTGCAGTTTAATGTTTTTAACTCTGGCTAATCCAATCGAGTCGGGTCGGTTTACCAAAAAGTAAAACTTTTTTCAATAATAAAGATGGACAATGGCCACAAATACAGGGGGGGACAACTGATTTTGAAAACGTGCAAGTAGTCTTTGATTGAAAATGTCATATCACTTGTTAATTGTTATCGTGTAACTCAAGGATTGAAATAGCGAGACATGCTAGGACTGTTTTGCTGGGAAGGACCACGCGATGCAGAATTTCATACATCAGAACCTAAAAATCATAGTCTAGCGGTCACCTGTCCGCCATTTTAGACTAGCCAATCAAGAAGGTTGAGAATTTCATTATACATGAACATGTCCATATATATACACACACACATGAATAAGAAGCTTGGAGTATCCCTCTCAAGAATAGGAAAAGCAAGCGACCAAGTCTTGGCCAGCTTTAATGTTAGGAACAAATAGAATATAAATAATAATAACAATAATAATAATGTAATAGACGCTTAGACAAACTTGAATATAACTTTACACTAAATTAGATTTAACCATAAGATGCAACCGGTTCCATATATCTATAACTTAAGCTGAAAACTCTTTGCAAGAGACTCTTGCGTGAACCAAATTTATCAATGGCGGGATCTACTTAATTTGTGGTGTATGGTAAAATCCAGATTTGAGTTCTTAAGAGACAAAGAGAGTAAATTAAATGCATTATTTCAGAAAGGAGGATTGAGAGTAGGGCACTGTAGCTGCATGAATTTCTTGAACAAGTCCTTAGCATGCTATATATGACAGTCCGATGTACAAGGTCAAAGCCAAAGTAAGAAAGATTTTAACCCTGAAAAGAGAAGAAAATGGAACTCTTCGACAAAAATACGTGTTCGAAAAAGCAAGCTCAAGCCCCCGAGAAGGAATGTGGAAGGGCCGACAAATTGTACCTACCATCTTGGCGACATGAAGACGCCTGAAACTTGATTTAGCTTGGGATAAAATTGACAAATAAACATAAAAGATATAAAAATATATTTTATTGGAGAGATGATAGTGAAGACAAAGTAAACATAGGAAGATTGTTCATAACTATCTTTATTGTATTTATTTTTTAATGTTTCAGAACTTTTAACCTTGAAACGATGCATGCACTCAGACTCTTATTATGAGAACCAGGGGAAATCAAGAGCAAATAATGAAGTGATTTTATTTTTGACAATTTTGGCTCAAACTTGTTGTGGCCTTTATAGTCTTTACGAGACAATTATTTATGGGCATGGCATGCTAAAGTTTTCATGTAGCGTGTGCTCAATACCGCAATACATTTTATTCTCATGGCTGAAGGTTCAAGGAAACTCAATTCCAGCTTCTTGCAAATTACGTCAACTTTAGGAGCCGTAAGCTATTGTTAATGGAACCAAAATACATTCCGACTACGAAAGATGCATCATAACCTCGAACTCAAATATCTTTTTTGTGTATAGTGAAAGAAAAAATTAAGGGAGCTAGATTTTTCTTAATCAACAAAATGAGCCTGTAAATCCCAGTTCTCCATGAGTTACATTAATGTTTTAAATATGACCATAGGTGGATGAAAAGCTATGGCATCATGCAAATATTCCTTCCAATTGTAAAGAGAGATGCCACTTTTACTGCCTCATGTAGGTCCTTTTTATTTATCGAAAGAGACATGAGCGGAAGGATATTTGATCTAAATACTAGAAATGAATTAGATGTAGTTTTGCATTATATTATTTGGCACATACTTTACTGCGAACCAGATTATTTTTTTGATATACAAAAATATTCAACATTGACAATAATTTTTTTATAATATTTAAATAATAATATATTAAATTTACTTGGATTAACCTTATAAATATATGACCCCGATCATCAAACCATAATAATTTTCATATAAATAAAATTAAAATAAATTATAAAACTTAATTCTCAATCAATCCAATATTAAAAAATAAAATTAAAAAATAATAATAAAAAAGGGCCCTTAAAAATGACTTAAATCTACCTATTAAATTCACAACTCGATTCATGAGACTAAGATAACCTTATAAAAAAATAAATTAAAATAAATTATGAAATATAATTCTCAATCAACTCAATATTGAAGGATGAAATTGATAAAAAAAAAATAATTTAAAAAATAAAACATAACATGACTCGACTCGAATTAACCCACCAAACTCATAATTTAGGTTATGAAATCACGATAATCTCATAGAAAATAAACTGAAAAAAATAACTCAAGTCAACCTGAGTTAACCTACAAAGCCTACAATAGGAGTTATGAGATTGAGATAACTTCTTAAAAAAAAATTAAATAAATTATGAATCTCAATTTCTAATATACTATAAACTCATTGTTGAATGATTAAACTAAAAAAAAAATCAATCTAAAAAAACACAATAAAATAACCTAAATCTGTCCAAGTTAGCTTACAAAACCTGTTACCTGGGTCATGAGATAAGCATATTCTCATAAAAATTAAACCAAAACAAATGACAAGACCTAATTAATAATCAACCTAATATTGTAGATGTTGAAGGATAAAACTGGAATAAAAAATATCAATTAAAATAAAAGATTAAAAAACTTGAGTCAACTGGGTTAATATATCAAATTCATGACAAATCATGAAACCTAATCTCTAATAAATTAAATGTTGAAAGATAAAATTAAAAATAAAACATAAATTCAAAAAATAATATTATAATTAATAGTATTTTGTGAGATAGTACATAGTAAAAACACCACCTCATGTAATAAGGTCATGGAACATTTTTCAAAATCTATTCTTATTTAATTATAAGAAATATTTATAAGAAAGGAAGTAATTGAAATTCTAGATAAAAAAATTCCATTTTTTTATTGTTATTCATGCATTTTTCTTACAATAAAATGAATTTTTAGCAATATAATCTATTAAATAAGAAATAATAATAATCAAGTAAATATTGGGAAAAGTTCTAATGACTTGAAGTAACGAGGAAAAAAAGTGCATCTTTAAAATAAAAGAATCCTTTTCATTATTTATGTATTTCTTTTTATATGGACAAAATGATGTTTTTTATCAAAGATTTGTCTTTTAAAGAAAAACTTATTATGATCATAAATGTAAATCTCAATTAAAGAAATTCATAAATCAATCATTTTATAAACTTGTAAAAAATATATATCTAAGAATAATAAATCTAAATATATATATATATATATATATATATATATATAAATCTTAAAATAAATATTATATATTTTATTCTTATTTAATATTAATAACCAAAGTTTTTGTTTTTGAAAAAATAGCATATTAGATTAATATATGATTATTCATAAAATAATTGTTAATTGATCATTAAAAAATCTCTAATCTTTTTCAAAATTATAGCATAATCAGGTAATTCTTTAAATATTATTTAAATAAATTTATTTTAAGAAAAAAAACTAAAAAAAAAACTTTTTAGTGCTATTTAACAAAAAGATCATGCATGCTAGGGGTTAGAAGTATGGGTCCGTAGACTTAGCCTATATGAAAATGCCCATCTAACTTTATCTTTTTGAATGGATGGATGGCTTTTTTTTAGTTTTAAATAGAATAAATTACATGTCATTTACCATACATCATATTTATAATGACCTTTAATTTGTATTCTCATTTAAGACATGATTGATTCATAATCATAGCAATAACATGTAAAGATAACCTTATTATTTCACTATGCAAACTTATCATCATGGAAAAGACTTTACAATTACAAAAATTTATTCCTTTATTGATAAAATTTTGGCAACATTTCTTCTGTAAGGAACATTACCCTAGATTTTTCATAAGGTATTGTACAATTATTTAAGTGATTATCTTCTCTTTATTGGCTCTAGAAGCATTTTCTTTATTGGCTTTCATGCTTCTAAGAAAGATATCTCTCCTTTTATTTTATCCATAAAATATTTTAAAAAAATTACTTATACATGCTAATGATATGTTGTTTACCGAGAATAATTCAGTTGTGCTCAAACATTTGATCAATTTAGTAAGCTTAAAGTTGAAGCTTCAGGTTTAAGTATCAATTTACTAAGCTTAAAGTTGAAGTTTCAGGTTTAAGTTATATGCATTACTTTTTGGGAAATAAAATTAAACCTATTTTTATAAGACTCATGCTTACACAATATAAATATGCTTTTGATATACTTCACATAATATATTTTAGTGAGAGTTGCAAAACAATTACAGCATTTTGCCACAATCATTAACAATCATACTGACAAAATCTATCTCATCAATATTTTATCGAGAGATGCAGAAAAATTATAGTCCATGCCACAATTATCGACATGTTTCCCAACAAAATCATCAACAAACGATGCAAATTCCAATACGTGCGATTATCAGATTGTCAGGTCAGTCAGCATATTTACCGACAAAATCATCGACGGAGTGGCAAATCTAATATGCACATGATCTGACACATATTTACCAACTAATGTGCCAACAGACTTCAAAAAATCTAAAAGGATTTTTAAAATTTTAGTGAAAATTCAAAAAAAATACCAATGGACATTATCGATGGGAATTTAATGCCACCACTCAAGAAAATACTATTTTAAGTTTCCTCAGTATTTTACAGAGTTTTGAAATATTTATAGCCCATGCTACCATCATTGAAGGACTAGCCGTTGGTGATTTACCGTTGGCAATACAAATGGAATAAGTTTATTGGTAAAGTTTTAGCGGAAAATTTTTTTGACGCGCTTTCACTATCAGTAAGACCGTCGATTTTTTTCCAGCAAACTTACCAACAAAAATGGGAATTACCGACGATCAATATTCCAATTGATGTATTCCGTTGGTAAGATAGTCAGTAAAAAATTATAAATGAATTGTGTGTCTTACACCGACGAAAGTATTCCATTGGTAAAACTATTTAATGGTGTTGTGGGAGGAAACATATATTGCATTGTTGCAGTGCAGTATATGTTTTTTGTTGAAATCATAAAACCGGTATCAAAATTGTGATTTCATCCAACTTTACCAATTTTTCTCAATTTTAACCTAATTGTATCAATTTTCGAGTTTTTAAAGCAATCCTGCATGTTAAGTATATACTAACTTGTAAAATTATATGATTTTATAATTTAAATCATGATTTTAACAACCTTAATCCCCACCTTTAACTAGAGAGAGCGTATTATGGGATGTATTATTATAGGATATTTGGAATTGCCTGGTATATACATATTTACCTAGTATAGGAGTATGATTATGTGTATTGCATTATATATTTGTTATTGTATGCAACCCTAAATATATAAATATAAAAGATGATTGTTCTCTCTTTACTGAACTTTATATTATATATCGGAAACTTCATCTCATATATTTTCTCAACTTGTCCACATCGCATTAAATTTGATTGAATCTTTGCGGTGAAATTATGAAGTTTGAGGATGAACATCACAAACTACAATAATTTGTGAAAGCAACATTTAATTGAAATAGTCAAAAACCTTCCAAATAAAACAGATCGTATTGAATATTTCACCAAGAGCCCTTGACATCCCCAAGAGATGATAGATATATCAATACCCTCATTGGTGATCTAGGAGCCCAACTGGCCTTCACCAATTAAGAAGTTCAGTCTGTTCATTTCTCATCTTAAATCCCAACTTGTATTTGGTAGTTTGCCTTCTTTTTCTTTCGTTATCCCTTGTTTTATTAGTTCCTGGGAGCAATGAAAGCAAAATCTGAGCAACATTTTACGTGTAGCTTATACTGTTTGAGTTGAATATAATAGAGATATATTCTCGAAATGAACATGATTTTTTTGAACAAGACCTTAGCATGCTATTTGACAGTCTGATGTAAAAGATCAAAGCCAAGTTAAGAAAGAAATTAACTCCGAAAAGAGAAGTGGGACTCTTTGACAAAAAGAAATATTTGTTCGAAAAAGCAAACCCGAGCCCACCCATATTGAATTTGGAAGGGCTGACTAAGTGTACCTTCCACCTTGGCAACATGAAGACCCCTGCTCTGGGGTTAGGTGCGTGCCTCGGAACGTCACCATAATGGCCTTGACTGTTTCACACCGTACAGATACATGGAAGTATAAGCAAACTTGATCTCGCAAGTCTCTAACATTGAAATCATGCGTTCGGACTCCTACTATGGGAACCAAGGAAAATCAAGAGCAAATAATAAAGCCAATTTTTTTGACAATTTTGGTTCAAACTTATTGTGGCCTTTTTAGGCTTTTCGAAACAATTATTAATTATGGGTATGGATGCCAAATTTTTCACATAAAGTGTGCTCAATGCTGACTCAGCTCAGCCCAACTTGATTGTGAATTTATTTTTATTTTTCTATTTTTTGTATAGGGAAAGAAAAAAGGCAGCTAGGTTTTTCTTAATAAAAAAAAAAAACAAAAGAGCCTGTAAATTCCAGTTCTCCACTGGTTCCATTAATGTTATAAATCCCAATAACCTTAGATCTAATGATTTGAATTAGATAGAAAACATTTATCTTTATAATCAAAATTCCCTTTCATTATTCATGTATTTCTTTTTGGTTTTGGCAAAAAAGTGTTTTTTTATTAAAATCTTCTCTTTTTAAATAAAAAATTATTATAATTATAAAAACAAATTTCAATAAAAAAATCGCAGTTATACAAAAATATAAGAATATTACATCTAGAAAAGTATATAAAAATTTTAAAATAAAAAATAGATATTTTATTATCATTTAATATTAATATACAATTTTTCAAAAAAAAATATTAATATATAATTATTCATAAAATAATTATTAATGTTATCATGAAAAATCTCTGACCACAACTGCATAATTCTTTAAATATCATTATAATAAATTTATTTAAATATATATTATTCTATTAAAAAAATCATTAACGGCTATTTTACAAAAATAAAGTCTTAGCGGGTCAGGAAGTATCAATCAAAGGTCATTATGCCCGCCCGCCTAGCTTTTTTTATATATATAATGAGTAGATAACTTCTTTTTTTAATAGAAATGGTTCCTCTTCACCCATCTTGTTAGATAACACATCACCTTTTACTTCACAAAAACCTAAAATTTATTTTATTTTAACCTAAAAATACCTTAAAAACATTATAAAATGTATAAAATAATTTCCAACCCTAAAACATATTTTAATCAATTTGAAACCATAAATCAAATCAAATCAAATCAACCAAAGTTCACAAGCCTCAGTCTATTTTTTAGCATGTTTAAAAAGCAAAACCAACTTCATTAAACTACTCTCTTTTTCTTAAAAAAAAACAAAAACAAAAGACTAATGAAACACAGATCGACCATTTGTTAGCCTAAATTATGGCCTATCAAATATTTTCTCTTCTCTATCTTTTTCAACGACGTTCTCTATATTCTCTATATATACAAGAACTGAAACAAGACAACAATGAAGTATAGGACCAAACCATAACTACCTAAAAAAACATGGATCAAATATGTAATAATTAAAACTTAAGAACCAAAATCAAGTTTTCCAAACTATTTTTTTAGGACTGAAATGTGAATAAAATGAAATTTTAAATGAAAATGTAAAATACAAAAACTAATGGGATTAGGAGATAAGTCAACGAAGAATATGCGGACAAATATACATCTTTTCGCATGAATTCCATAAAAGCCTTTATTTATTTTAAGATTGATCATTTTTCTTTGAATTGTGTCTATAAGCTTCGAATTCAAACTCCATCTCATGTAATCAACCTTCAATCGTTTTTGAAAATCTGTTAGAAAGCTCTAGGCTACCACCAACCCAAAAAACACCACAAATAATATATGCATGGATATAAGGAAAAAAAGAATTGAGAACAAAAAAAATGACACTACTGCAATCCAAAATAAAATGTAATAAGGCGTTTGTAGCGTAGCGTACAGTGAAAAACTAAGCATAATCAGTATAGTGCTAATTAATGTTATGAATATTATAGACGTCCAAACTTTGAACATATATATAAAATCATGCATGTACTTTTTCTAATATTATCTTGATACCTTTATTTATAAATGTATTATATTATTTATAAATGTATGAAGAATACCACGTGAACAATCGACGTGGAATATGGAGGTTTGGAGGCACTTATTTCAATTACCTTCAGTGGTACCTTCACGCGGGAGGGAGAAAGTTGTGCATTGGTCACCATAACTGGCAGCATGTCTCGCATTAAGTAACAGATCTGAAAGCACCATCAAAGGCTACGAAGACAAGTGTAATAAAAAGCCAGTCATCCTACGAGCCTTGTTGCCCGAAAGCCGGATGCTTCTGTGGTCTTGGAATAAGAGATACAGGATAAAACCACAATTCCCATGAACACAGTTACACCATTATGCATTTATCATATTATGATGGCTGAACATTCAAGACAACGAAAGCTTCGTGCTATGTTTGTCCATGGATAAAATTAGGACATCAACATTTTGACTGTCTCTGCTCACGAGGCTCCACAATGTAAAACAGTTTGAGATATGACACAACTAGACACGGGGAACACTTGTTTCATTCGTCGAATTCATGCATGTGGTCTAATAGATAGTTGGCCGCCAGTTCTTCATTTTTGTTGCATGCAAAATACACCTCCAATACTATGGCTCGATCAAAGCCCATTGCTTCAAGCTGCCAAATCGACATCATCGATGTAGTAGACCAACAAAAAGATTGTTTTAAAAATAGGAAATTAGAAACTTATCAAGCTCTTTGGTTTTTCAGCATGTGCACTCTTAAGCATCAAAAGCAAGAGAAAGGAGATTATGATCTGATTAAATGCACAAATCTAAATGCAAGAAGACATCAAGTCACCATGGAAGTGAGTTTTCAGAGATGCATGCAAAAGATAATTCAAGGATTTCAATGCATGTGGCATTGAACACCTTGAACCTAAGGCGCAAATATCAATTAATTTCCTGCAATACATGAAAATCTATGCGACAGAGAACTTCAAAACTGTGACTTGGCTGCAAATGTAAGTGATGAATGAAATTCAGCACCAATAATAAAGAAATATATTGTGTCGAGCGATGAACTTACACGTTCAATTGCCTCGCGCTCCTCAGGGGTGACAGTCACTGCTTGTGGCATTGCAGAGGCCAATTGGCCCAGCACATTCCTGATTAAGTAAAGGCAATTTAGAATCACATGCAGGGAATTCTGTCTATATATCATTCTAAATACAGATTCATCTCACCCCTCTCCTTCAACAGGTTCGTTTATCAAGCGCAAGAAATCAGCCTGATGCTCTTGAATGAGACGCATCAGGTATGGATTTTGCTTCCCTAACTCCTGAAGCATCGGCTGCAATACATGAAAAGTCATTGATCATCTTTAGGTTAGCACCTAAAAGTATGGCAACAAGGAGAAACAACCACATGAATTAAAATCCTACTAGGTACCTGTAGGATTTGAGGGTTTGCTTGCACCATAGCTCGCAAGGCTTGGAACTGAAATTGAGGAGGGTTGCATAAGAAACTTCAAGCCAATTAATGAATTTACATAGATCCACAATAAATATCTTCAATACCTGTTGGCTATTGCGTAAAAAATCCAAGTTGCCTGTACCAGCATTAGAACCCGTCCTGTGATGGCCCTAGTTCCATAAGAATCATGTTCATCAATTGACCCACCCTAACGAGGCTTTTAAAGTACATATAAAAGAAATACATACCTGCGGAAAGAGATCTAGTGGATTTGCATTCGGACCGCTATTAGGAGCCACAACTGGTTGTGGAGCCAGAGCTGGAGGATTTGCAGCGTTGCCACTTGCTGGACCTTGGACAACTTGGGCAACTGGTGGAACTTCAGCTTGCTGTGGAATACCCTGGTATTGTAAACCAAATGCTTAAATGACCACTACTATAATAATATATAAACAAACACAACACCTAAGAGTAAAATACTCTTGTAACAAACTAAAATCTCACCAAAAAGGGAGGGAAAGAAAAAACTCTGAATCAAAATATGAAAATGTTGATTTCATTATCATTAATTCACATACGAAAAGTTGATGCATAACAAAGAGAGGTAACAGAGACTTCTGATGGAAAATAAAAATAAAAATAAAAAATTGTGAAGTGGGGATTGTTGCCAAAGTACAGATCTTAGGTGATGAACCTAAATATTAAACAGCATACTGCTATTAAGGTTTAACAGTATTATACAAGAAAGACAATGAGAAGATGGACAGGGGAAATAGAAGAGCTCAAGATGAACCGATAATATTGAAGATAGGACAGTATATACCAACACTCTTTAGTTTACAAGTTTTGTGAAGAAAAAAGATGAACAGAACTGAGCATAACCTAGATCCAGTCACCAAGTTACAAAATTATAGACCCGCAGTTTTTAAATGACTTACAGAGTATAAATATTCAACAGCTCGTTCAGGGTTGTTGAATGCAGCACGTAGAGCACGAACAACTGTTTCTCGGTTCCAGTCTCCTCCACCCATATCAAGAATCTGTTGAATGGTTGCTTCTAAATTACTTCCTGCAACTAGATTTGATGCTGCTTGCCCATACATGTTTGTATCTAAACTGCTTCAATGACAGGGAAAAAAAAAAGAAAAAATATATATATTATTAGTTAAATTTTAACTGCTATTCGATACCTTGTTAATTTCACTTTAAAAACACATTTTATTATTAAAATAAAACTTTAAAACGTGTCATTTTTCTTCATTTTATTGATAACAACACAACGAATTGCACATGTTAACCAAACACTTTATTATTTAACTACATACAAAACCTCACGTTGCTTTGGCTTATTGTGATGTTATTTCTTTTATTGTCTATTTTTAGTTTTTAGAGCATCAATTTTTTAAAAAAAATTTACGTAAATCATAGCAAAATTTATTAGATCAAGATATAATCTCAAATCCTTTAGACCACTAGCAAAAAAATTTCTACTTATTGCCTTTACTCCAAACTTTTCTAGAAAACATACATATTATTTTAATCAATAATAAAAATACATAAGCATATAAAATATTATATAAATTGATTCAACATGTGAATGTAATAAAAACAAGTTTAATTAAATACATATACCATATTTAATAGTTGAAGATTGACAATCCAAATAATAAAATTATTGACATGATAAATAAAAAATCAACTGAATATAGAATTAGCCATTAAAAAATTTCAATTAACTGAACTCATCAAAAAGATGTTTTTATTTTATTAATTATTATAGAGAACTCTGAAAGACTGTAGACTTAAAACTCATGGGCACTAGGGATTCACTATGCCCATGAGCTTCTTCTTCTTTTTTGTTATTATTTTTTTTTTTTTAGTTTTTCCCTTTAAGGACCTAATCGGAGGCTAATTTGGTTAAATTTGTTAAAGAATTGTGAAATTGAAAGACAAAGAACTAAAATGAAACATGCAAAGAAGATGGGTGGTCTTTTCTAATTTTTTATGAAATGCTCAACTTCGTCCTCATTATTTACTAATTATAAGAATTGGGTCCCTTCAATTTTTGAAGTTTCAACGAAAATCAATTTTGATCCAAAACTTTATTTTTTTATTCTTGGTTTGAGAGATGAGATAGAGAGTTGTCAGATTCCAGAGGTGAAGAGAAAAATATTGTTGACACCGTTTTCTATCACCAAAACACTCAATTTTTATGTCAAATAATTTCATTTGATAAGGAGAGTTCAACTTAAGTGTTTTTTTATCTTGAAAATGCCTAAAATAATATATATGAACTTGAAAATAACAGAATATTTTTGGTTTTGCATTGCTTTCGGGTTTTGGAATTGTTTTTTTGAGTTTTTTAGACCATGGATGAGTTTAGAAAAGTTCTAATGGTATTTTCTAAGTGTTTTAGATCAAAAATAAATTGAAAAATAGGTTTTAAAGTCAAAAAGCTTCTACCCCGACTTACCAACCACCAAAGAGAACGGAATCTAGCCGTCATCTTATGTAATTAGGGTCATCTTATGTAATTGGGGTAGACACTCCATCTGTAATCAAAAAAATTATGGGCTCAAGCTCAAAAATAATTCCTTTTTTTCTAAATTTTTTTTTTTTACTTGATGCTTTTTTATATGTATTTTCAAAAAAAAATTATTTATATTTAAATCAATACTTCTTTTCTCTTTTATTTTGTTTATATAGTCTCTTTTAAATAGCAATTATTTTTCAGTTATTTTGTATGCATTTAATTTTTGAAAAAATTATTCTAATTCATCTATAATTTTTTTATGTTTAATATAAATAAAAAATATTTATTTTTACATAATATTTATAATATGTATAACCTCATACATAGTATTTTTTTTTCCTTTTATTTTATTCAATCAATTTTATGTATATCTATTTCTACCATCATTTAATTAAATAAAAATTTAATTTTAGTAAACAAATTCAATACATTTCATATGTATCTATTTCTATTATCGTTTGATTAAATAAAAAATTGATTTCAGTAAACAAAGTCATTCTACACAACTGAATCAAAGTCTCATGTTGCAAAATCAAATATATTGATCTATAAATATATCTATCGAATTTTTCATTTTGTCTTTGTTTATCATTAATGACTTTTTTTTATTTTTTTATATATAGTTCTCGATTTATTTGATTACATGTATGCATGAATTTTTTTATTTATAATTATAATTTTTCAATGAACAAATATGCGTTGAAAAAGCCTACATATAATTTTTTTAAAGGAAAAAATATATCTGCCCTGTGCTAGTTATATTCCATTTGAGTTCAACTTTCATTTATATGGTTATTATTGAATATAATACATGCCAATGGTAATATCAAGATTATGAAAAAAATAAATAAATCAGATAATAAAAACATAATTGTTGTCTAAATAATATTTGGAAAGAGTAAAAAATGAGATAAAAAAAAATGAGAACAAAATCTTGAAATTCAAATTATAGATCAGGATATGAATGCATCTTTTCCATGAACAGGAAATAAAATGATTTTTTAGCTAGAAATCTCAAGACTGGGTTCAAACTTGACATTATATATGTACATTTTATCATATAATAAAAACTATATTCAGATGCGTATAATTTATCACATAATAGTGAGTAGAAAAAATAATTCAATGCGTAGGAAAAATAACTGTCAACGCATATTCCTCCCTCCTTTTCCATATATGCTTCACAAACTCTACTACCCAAAGCACTAGTGTAAACTTGGCCAAATATCAAGCATTCCACCCACCAATCTCAAACCTCCTTTGGCTACATGTCAACTTTTTAATCCAACTTAATCATACTCATTAAATGTTATAGATGATTTATTGCAGTTAGCTAGCATGGCCCCACTAATAATTTAGAT